CAACCCCTTTATTCCGATTGTTCCCGAGACACAGCGGTGAGAGCGAGGCCTATTTATAGACTGAGTCTCTAGACATGGGAAGGAGGAAAAGAAGGAAATAGGAGAGAGGACATGGCTGAAGGAGAGAAGAGAGAGAATGGAGGGAAGAGGAAAGTGGCCTTGCCTCATACACAGCCTTTTGCTGGCCCTCCGGAGCTTCCAGGGCCAGCCCACTATAGCTAAGACTCTGGGCCAATGGGCCGAACTCGTCCTGTGCACGGGTATCTGTGTTGGCTTGCACATGGGTTACCTTAACGAGCTCTCCTACCACCCATGAGGGTGGGTGCTGTTAGTGTCAGACCCACGTCCCTGAGGTCCTAGGATCTGACATGAAACAAAGAGTGGTTCCCCACCCCAATCCAGGTCTATTTGGCTGGAATCTGTTTTTTCCTGGCACCGCCTCCTGCATCTAGACCTGACGAGGCTAAACGCAGGAGGCCCGGCTCTCTAGGTGGTTGAAATAGCGATGCGTTCCCCTATTTTTAGCTCTTCCCCATTCTCCCCAAGTGCCCTAGCCATCCAGCCCCTTCCCCTGGACCCCCAGGTCTTATCGGGACCCAGCAGCTCAGCTCTGGCTACGATTTCTAGTACTATGTTGTATAAAAATGGGAGGGTCGGCATCTTTGTCTTCCTGATCTTCAAAGAAAAGCCTTCATCTTGTAACTGTTGAGTACTATATTAGTTGTGGGCTTGTCATATATTGTGGTCTTTATTATATTGAGATACATTTCCTCTCTACCTGCTTTGTGTAGAGTTTTTTTTTTTTTATCATAAATGGATGATAAAAATGTTTTTTTCTGCATCTATTGAGTTGATCTTATGATTTTTATCCTTTATTTTTATTAATGCAGTATATCATGTGAATTGACTTTCAGGTGTTTAACTATTCTTACATCCCTGTAATAAATCCTATTCACTAATTTTAAAAAAGGGAGGTTAATGCCTGGCATAGCAGGAAACCTCTGGGATGGTCGTCTGTGCCCTTTCTGATTGGTTATCAAATGCAGTGGCTCTTCCCCTGATTCTTTGTGTGGTGATATGTGAGTCATTGTGCACCTGCATGTGTGCGCATATCAAACACACACGTGTATGTGTGTTTGTGTGCACATGTGAGAGTGTGTGTGTGCTCACACGCAAAGAGCATTGCTAGGAAGGCATGATTTGGTTCTGTAGTAACTGTCTGTGGGACTCACTGGGCCTTCAGGATGGGTCGTCAGAGCAGGAGCAGATGCCAGGCCTCCCCAGCTGCAAATCTCCAACTGTGGGGTGCTTTAATCTTTCCCTCTGCCTCTTCTCCATCTTCATCAGCTTCTTCCAGGGCTGGAGCACCGAGCAGTTTCCAGGATGCTGTGTAGACCACCTTATCCACCCTTTGTGGAATCCCATCGAGTAGGGATAGCGGTGGTTCTAAGCTGGGTGGCCATGGTCCTCCTAGGAGTGCCAGGGAAGAAGGTGCCCCCTTGCCAGGGACACTGGCGGGGCAGGCTGGGCCATGAGCCAGGCCAGCAGGAGTGTCACCCTCTCCTGCACCTGGAGAGAGCCAGCGACCAGGAGCGTAGATCCATGGGACTATCAAGGCCCCTCAGGCTGGTGCTGCCCATCAGGGTGCAGCTGGGGGCCAGGGCCTGAGGTACAAGTAAAGGCCCCTGTTAAGATACAGGGAGATGTTTATAAATCAGAGCAGGAACCAACCAACTGCCGGTGCTCCCAGGAAGTAGGGCCCAGTCCAGAGGCCATGAAGTGGGCAGAGGGCCATGCCAACCAGGGTGGACCGTGGGGCCACGGTGTAGAATCCAGGATCCAGAGGCACAGCCAGGCTGGCTGTGTGTGAACATACTAGCTGACACGTGTGTCACTGTTACTGTCCGCCAGACACTGTCCAGAGTGCTTTGCATGTCTAGGATATTCCAGTAAACCAAGTGAGGGGACAGGAGTACTGAGGTGCTGAGCAGCCTGCTCAGGTTCACACAACGGGCAGGTGACGGAGCCAAGGTGTGAGCTCCATCTGTCCTCTCCACAGTCCCCTCTCCCATTCTGCCGTTCATTCTGCAGTGAGTCTGTGGGGCTTCCCAGGGCTCAGCCTCAGCCCTCTAGACCCAGGCTCAGAGCTGTTGGCTCAGTCCTGACCCCTTCGCTGCTGTCTTTTTTGCTTCAGGTCCTGGGCACAACTGAACAGGGAAGGGTGGACTGAAATGAAGGCTCAATTCACTCAGCAAGACATAGTATAGGGGGAGGACCTAGGTGTCCTGATAGTATAGTATAGGGGGAGGACCTAGGTGTCCTGATTCCTAGAACTGCGCTCTTGATGAGCCCGCTTGTGTGGCTTAGAAACCTCTTAGAAGTCCAGTGCTGTTCCATTTTCTGTCTTGAGAAAGTAATCGGTTCTCCTTATCTAGAAACGTGTCTTCTCCGTCCCCTCGCCCTGCGGTCTGAGCCCTACTGCAGAGCCACCCTTGTGAGCTGGCACTAAAACCATCTGTCTTTTTAACCATCTGTTTGCAGAGCTCTAGAGTTCGGCAGTGGCAAAGATGAGATCTCCCTGTTGGTGGAGCAGGAGTTCTTGAGCCTAACCAAAGAGCACCTCATCCTGGTCACAGAGCGTTCAGGGGAGCTGGAGGCACCCAGCAGCTCTCCCATGGGGCCTAGAAAACCAGCTCCCTGCCATCTCATGCCTCCTCTGGTAGCAGGTAGCAGTGAGTGCTCAAGAGCCTCTATCATTGCCAGTGACAAGCTTCTGGAGCCAAAGGTGGCCATGTCTGTCATTGGCAGCCGGCAGGACTGCGATTCTGCCATGTCTACAGTCACAGGCATCCTGCGTGCTGCCAGGGTCAAGAGTGCCAAGGGGACAGAAGATGGGGCCCACAGCCTAGGTGCCTCCAACTCGGAGATCAGCAAGCTCTTGGCCCAGTTTCCACTGAAGTCCGTGGAAGCATCCAAGGCCCCCAACAACAAAGAGGTGCTGGAGGAGACAAGAGTCATCAAGGACTTCCTGCAGAACAGCATGTTCAGTGGCCCCCAACCCAGGGAACCCATGGGGCTGGGCTCGTTCCTGCTGCTGCCACCCCCGCCTCCTCCCGCACCCCCCAATAAGCTCCCTGAGCTCCCTGCCCAGAAGAGGCAGCTCCCAGTGTTTGCCAAGATCTGCTCCAAGCCCGAGGTGGCCCCCGCCATGGAGGGGCACCACTTGATGGGTGAGTGGGGCTGGGAGCTAGCAGGTGGGCCTGCAGGGAGGAGAAACTTAGGCACACCACATCTTTGTGCAGAGTAGGACCAGGTGGCCTCTCTGGTGGGCGCAGCCTCTAGATGCAGCTGTTTTCAATGCCTACAGGCCCTCTGTGCTGGATACCCGTGTACGGGGCACAGCAGATCCCAAGGAGCTCTGAGAAGAGGGACAGGCACATTTGGTACCTGACTCATTTTTTAATCCACCAGGAATCCAGAGTACACTGAGGGAAGTATTTATCCCAGCTGAGTCCTGGGTGGAACTGCAGCTGGATAAGAGAGAGATTTGATTGGGAGCCGGGGTCATGTGGCTTCTGAGGGAGGTGCCTGATCCGACCATGAGGCCTGGTCCTCTCTCTGGGGCAGGGGGTGAATGTCTGAACTCTCCTGGTGCAGTTCAGACTGTGGGGCCTCCAGGGTCTTAGAAAAGTACATTTCCACCTGCTAACTGCGGAGTCTACATCCTTCCCAGGACATCAGCCACCCCCCAAGTTTCCCCCACCCCACTCCTGGGTTCTGCATTTTGTGCCTGTGATGCTTCAGTCACTCAGATCGGATGGTTCCAAGAAGGCAGACTGATGGCAGTGGCATTTGCCTATAGTCGTCTGTCACTAGGAGAAAACCAAAAGAAAATTCACCCCCAGTGTGCGAGCATGGATGGATAACTGAAAAATGCCTGTAGAGGGAGAGCCCAAAGCCATGTTCCTAAGAAAATAGGAACACAGTCACCCTAGAGAACACTCCGTGTGCTGCAGCATTGTTAGAAGGCCAAGGACAGCAAGCTGGACTCTGGGTCTTGGGCAGGCCTCTAGGAGCCAAAGGGTTCTTTGGGCTTGCTGGCTGTATGTGTGAGAGGATTAGCCCTGCCTGGAGGAGGGGACTTTGCTCCCACCTCTGTCCCACCCACCCTCCCCACCATTTGTGTGTGTCTGAGTACAAACGTGTGGGCAAAGGTGTGCCAAAGGGAGCTCTGCAGGTGTCAGTATATTTGTCAGAGAAAGTGGTGAGTGTGGGTGCATCCGAGTGTGTGTCTATGTGTATGTGTTTGTGTGTATGTCTGTGTGTATAGTTGTGCATGTGTGAGTCAAAGGAATGACAGGAATGTGTGTGTGTGTGTGTGTGTGTGTGTGTGTGTTGTACACGGATGTTGGAAGAGGGAGCTTTGGAGATGAGTGAGCAGCAAGCATGTTCAAGGCGACTGGAGGTGTGTGGGAGAGACTGCAGGTGTGTGGGTCCCTTGGGAAAGGGCTATTATTAGTGGGTACTGTTATTTCAGCATACTAGCTCGAGGCTAAACTCAGCAACCAGAGAAACTCTTGGAAGAGACTCTAGGGACAAGTTTTGCTAAAAATGTCATTTTCTCCTAAATTGGCTCAGGCTCTTTCCTTTGCTGGGACGGTGCTAGGAGGGCAGGCCCGGTCCTGCCCAGACTCAGCCCCAAGGCCATTGGGCTGGGGCAGGGAGGACAAGAGCTGGTGTGATCAGATCTACTCCCAACAAGTAACACCTGACACAGGTCCTCTGATCCACTGGAATGATCCGAGGTGCCTGCTGTGTGTCCAGCGCGCCATTTCCCAGCCAGGCTCCATGGAGACCAGGACCCCCCAGCTGGAGAAAGAGTGAAGCGTGCTGGGTGGGTCCAGTCCTCTTCCCTGCTTCGACCAAGCAATACCATCTTAATTTTATTTGAAGAACAAGTTCCATTGCTTAAAAGGAATATGGGTAAAAACCACTACCCAGCCAGGCTCCATGGAGACCAGGACCCCCCAGCCGGAGAAAGAGTGAAGCGTCCTGGGTGGGTCCAGTCCTCTTCCCTGCTTCAACCAAGCAATACCATCTTAATTTTGGTAAAAAAGAATTGCTAAAAAGGAATATGGGTGAAAACCACTGCCGTGAAGGGTCCCATGTTGGTCCAGACAGTGTCCTCACACTGGAAGAACAGTTGGTTTCTTTGGAGAGAGACCTGAGCCTGGCACCGACCACTTCCTGTGACTCACTCTGTCTCTCTGATGCCTCTTTGCCTTGGCCTACGGTCGCTCATTGCCTGCCATGCCCTCCTCCCTCATACCCCTGGATGCAAGGCCTTGCTGAAGGGCCTCTTCTTTCTGGAAACCCTCTGACCCTCTCAGACAGAAGCTGTCTCAGCCATCTTCTTCTCCCACTGTGTCCCTCTGTCACCTTGCAGTCCCCATCTGCCTTGCCCCAAAGCTATTTCTGGGCCTGTCTCTCTCTTTCTCCTTGTTGTGAGCTCCAGCAGGGCCGAGCCTGGCTCTGACTCATCACAGTGTCCCCAGTACTCAGGTCAGGGCCTGGCACTGACAACTGAGCTGAATTGCCTGTTAGCACCAAGGCAGAGTCCACAATGAGGGACCAGACTGTGGTTCAGACCGTGTGTCTGTGGGAATGGGTGTCCCCTCACTACACCAGGGGCTCCCTGAAAGCAAGAACGGTGTCCAAGTTAGCTCTTATCGGGAGCTTGGCAGTATGGAGGGTTGGAAGGAAGGAGAGAGGAACAAAAAAAGGTAGGAAGGGAAGAAAGATGGGAAGGAGGGAGGAAAGGAAGGAAGGAAAGAAGGAGGAAGGAAAGAAGATAAGAACGAATGAATGCACGATGTACACACGTGTGCCTGGGAGGGGAAGACCAGCATGGGGAGTGGTCGGTGAGGCCTCCGGGAGGAGACTGGCATTGGATTTGGCTGGGAGAGAGACCCCAGAGTGGTTTGAGTCTGAGGTATGTGGAGGACCTATCACTTAGTTCACAAGGAGGTGCTCCCTGCATCCAGCACTTGACCTTCTAGAATTGTTGACTCAGTTTCCCTCCTGCTATAGAACGGAACCCTGGCACCAAGGAACCAACCAAGGGTCGAGAGAGCGTCTTTCTCAGTCAGTGGCCCCAGAGCCGGAAGGACACCTGTGGTGAAGAAGGTTGCAACGATCCAGTGGGCTCCATGTCCATAGCCCTGCCAGCCAAGAAGCCTGCATGGCCGGCTGAGAAGACCCTGCTCTATGAGTTCCTTGGGGCCGCCAAGAATCCAGGCGGGCAGCTGAGGCTTCGCAGCAAAGAGGTGGATGGGCTGGAGTTGAAACGTAAGCTGACCCTTCCCAGAAGGAGTCTGTGGAAGAAGGGATGTCACAAACCCTCATAAGCTCTCGGAGTGGCTCTGCCACCAAATGGCTGTCTTATCCATGGGCAAGTCACTGTCTTCCTCTAGGTGCCAGTTTTTAAACCTATAAAATGGGGGAAATGACCTTCTCCCTGTGTCCCTTATGGGAATACGATTGCTAGAGAAATGCTCTTGGCTGTCAGAGGTCACATGGGCATTATTAGTGGTCAATAATTTGAACACAGCTCGGACTCAGCACATTCCCCAAAGCTGCCCAAGCTGAAGAAAAGTCAGAGCTTCAGATTAATCGCGTATGGAGGTTACTCAAGACCATGCTTTCTCTCTCTTGCCCTACTACAACTGTTTTAGCCAAACCTCTTTTCTCAGAAAGAATGCCAATAAGGGAAACCAAGGCCCTATCTCTGACTCTGCAAGCCCACAAAACTTATTGTAGAGGCGAGAATCCAAGATTTATACCCTGAAACAGCCCAACCAAATCTCATTCATTTAGACTAATTTTGGGTCATGCCACAGTGAATTACAGAATGTTTTAAAATACTTTCTAAAAAAATGATTCCGATATAGATATGACCATCTGTGCAAGGTCCTCAGTTTCCTCAGGGGCCTGCTTTAATAGTTTGACAAGAATGACTTCCAATGGCATAGCGATCGTATAAAACTGGATTTTTCTAAAGGACTTGAAAGAACTTGGTTTTGAACGCGGGTGAAATATAGCCCTAGCAAAATCTGGTTTATTGTATTCTCTTGCTACACTGCCTCCTTTCCTAGTGAATGATGGAGAGGGAAGCTCCCAGGCAGACCCTGCTGGGAGTTTCACCCTTTCCAAAGTGGCAAGGTGTGAGCTAATAATGTTTTCCTATTGTTGGAAACTCACCGGAACTTGAAGAACCCTCTTAGAGCTTGAAAGCCCTGCCCTTTGAGAACATGACTCTTGTGGGGGCAGTCACGGTGCTGAAGGCATCCTGGCCTCTCCCTTCCTCAGTCACTGAACCCCTGTACCTCTCCTGTGACTTACAGTTAACCCACCAGTGACGGTGGCCGACAAGAACAACCTCAAGTACACAGGGAATGTCTTCACCCCACGCTTTGCCACCACCTTGACCTCAGCATCCCTGAACCAGCCACTCTGGCTCAACCTGAACTATCCACCTCCACCAGTGTTCACAAATCACTCCACCTTCCCACAGTATCAGGTGAGTGAGTGAGCGGGTCCTGGGCCTGGCTCTCCGGTGGCCATCCACCCAGTTTGGCCACAAAGGAGCTCTAGCTGTCAGGGAGCCTAGTTCACAAAGAGCCTTTAGGCTCGTTACTTAATTGCTTCATTGTGGCCACATCGGACCAACTACTTGGTACATGTGTGCACAAACGTACCCACATGCATATGCACATATATTTCTAATTTCCTTTGTCTAAATTCCCGTTCACTCTGGGCTGTGCATTCCAGCACTGCATTGCTGGTGCTTGGACACCGAGAATAGGATGATGGCATAGTCTTTTCCCATTCACCTCCGGTGACTTCCTTTATAGCTGGAAGGCATGCATCCTTGGTTACTTGGGACAGTCTCGGTTTAAGTCTTTTGTCCCAGAATAATTATTAATAGCACCCCTTTCACTCTCAAGTGTCCTGGTGTAGATAACAAATTAAATTTCATTTAAACTTCATCTGAGCAGTCTTAGCTTGTACCAGATAAGGTGGCTTGGTACCCATTCTTGGTTTGGGCTCACAGCTAAAAGGGAATTAGTGGGCAGATACAAAGGGATGGCAAAACACTTGTAGCAGGGTTAGGAATTTTATTCACAGAACTTATTTATGCAGAGAAAATGTAGTTTCTGTAGTTTGTCTATTCAACCTAATCTTCCTTAAGAGCTGCCGCCCACTGGGTAGAAGGAAGAGAAAATCAAATAAATGTCCATTCTGGTTTAAACCATAGTCCGATCCAAGAGCTTAATGGTCCTTTTAGGTAGAGCTCAGCTTCTCTAGGGAAGATGCTCGGTGTCTAAGATTTCTTCCCTGATTCCTTCCTTGGCTCCTCTCCAGGGTGGCATGCAGGTGTATGGGGAAGGGCGAGAACACACAGCTACTTGCCTGGCCCGGCACAGCCTGGAGAGGGCAGATAGAGAAAGAAATCTGCCTGAAAGTTTTCTTGTCCTGTCTCTGTGCGCCTCCTGCTCCCACTGCTGCTCAGTCCCTATGTCATTTCCTCCTTCACAACAGGGGGGCAAGCTGTCTTCTCTATTCTATATGAAAGCCTTTCTGAGCTACTCCACCGGACTTAGCCCCTGAATCTTCAATAGGAGCAAAATATGTCTTTTTCTTTCCAAAGTTTTGTTTTCAAGCCTTTTTTGGTTTGCTAAAGAGAACAAAATGCCCACCCTCTTCTCATGTGGGACAGAAGGCCTCACTCCCCCCATCAATGTGAGAGGTGGTCATGAAGCATGATCTAAGGGGAAATCAAAGTGTGTCCACACCAGACCTGTGATATCTTGTCCTTACACAGGTCCTGAGATATGCCTCCACCTTTGCGTGTTTGTGTTTACTCATTCACTATTCAATCATTTATTCGCCTACCCACTAATGCACTCATCATTTATTTATTTATTTATTTACTCATTCATTTAAGTCATCTTAAAAACCTTTGCTTTGCACTGACTATAGGCCGAGCACTGGCTAGGTGAAGGGGATCCAAAGATGACTAAAAAGCTCGGAGTCCAGTACAAGCCAGGAACAAATCTCGGACCAGCACTGCATGCACCCCCACCTCTGAAAGGGAAACAGTTGCATAATGTTATTTGGATAAACCTAT